GGTATTACATCAAATATGCCTTTGGTTTATTTGCATCAACCTCACTTGCAGGTACTAGGAAGCTAGAAATAGAGACCGTGGGATCAATGACATATTTTTAATGAGATTGACAGTCTTATGCGGTCCATCGGTGATGTAGCCATTGTCCATAATTTGTGTGAGGCAAATTCCTTTGTCGATGCTCTACCTAAATATGGAGTGGACAGAGACTCTATGTTTGCAGCTTGGTGGTGAATTGATTCATGGTCTAATATTTGTGATGTTGTGTGATGCTTACAAGTTGTCAGCTTGTTGCTATTGGTGCTTTCCAGATATGTCTTATTTTTAGTAGGAATTATGTTGTTATTTTCTCTTCTCTTTGTCTATTGGTCAGTGACATATATATGAATAAATTCCACCTTTTGCAGAAGAAAAAAAATGTCTTTTTCTCCTGTGGTAATCTTGTCTCTTATATCTTAAAATTTGAAGTCTAGACATTAAAGAGAAAATCTCAAATTCTAATTAAAGGTGTTCATGGATCAGATTGAAGTGAATCAGATTGAGTCGAACTTGACTAACACCTTAAAATTTTGTGTTTGATATTTTTGTGTCAATATAGCATAACTTTGAATGTTCTTGAACTCCTCTATTAAGCATTTGAATGCTGGCAGTTTAAATCAAATTCACTGCATCAATCAGTTGATGGCTGGCTTTCTTTCAGTTTATTTTGTTAATAATTGGAGTTTTATGCACCAATGTTTCCTTGCTGTCTTGCTTCACAAATTTTCCAGCAGAGGCTGCTGAACCAAAGAAATGAAGGCAAAAGAAAACGAATAGAACCAATGGCAATAATGAAAGACACGCCAGGGCCAGCAACAAGAAATTATTGATTATTTGGGGTAGCATTTTGTTGTGAAAATTACAAACTTATCTTTAAAGAGTTACTTAAAATCTTACCTCGCCAATGGAATAAAGAAAGAAAGAAAGAAATCAAGCACATCCATAAGAACACAAAAATTTACATGGTTCGATTTTTTTATGATCTATGTCCACAAGCACAGTAACAAAGGAAGATCTACTTGGAGAAAAAGCAAGAAATTACAAAAATAGTTTTAAACTCATAACCCTTATCCCATATACACTCAAATCACTCTTTCTAAATATAAGGGATTGCTATTCTTTAACCCCACATGATCCTTTTATAGGGACCAAATACAATAATCTTATCTTAATATAATTAGAATATATTATACTAATCTAACTAAATTTAAAGACTACCTCAAAGAAAGTATATTAGTTTAATTAGAATTAAATAATTTTAATCATTCAACAATTCAAGACTATCCTAATAAATCTCCACCTTAGGCTTGAATTCACCAAGCTCCACCTTACCCAAAGGGCCTCAAGCATTATTAACATTGATCAAGTCCAAGCAATATTTGAACTTTATCCCAAAAACTGACTTAGTCAACATATCTATTAGATTTTCATCTGTAACTATTTTCTTCACTTTAATTTCTCCTCTAAAAACAATCTCTCCAACAAAGTTACATTTAACTTAGATGTGTTTGGTTCTCTCATGAAACATTTGATTTTTAGTCAAATGTATGGCACTTTGACTATCACAAAACATCTTATACCAATTTGTTATGGAAATTATGAAATTATCTTGAAAGAGTTACTGAAGATCTTACCCAATCAATAGAATAAAGAAAGAAATAAATCAAACACACTCACAAGAATACAAGAATTTATATGGTTCAGTCTTTTGATAAACTACGTCAATGGGCACAGCAATAGAGAAAGACTCACTAAAAGAAAAAAAAAAAGAGATTACAAAAATAGTTTTAAACTTACAACCTTTATCCTACGTACACCCAAATCACTTTCTCTAAATCTAGGTGATTAAGAGATTACAGGATCCTTTTATAGGGGCCAAATACAATAATCGAGAGATTACAGGATCCTTTTATAGGGCCAAATACAATAATCTTATCCTAACATAATTAAGATATGTTATACTAGTCTAACTAGATTTAAAGACTATCTCAAAGAAGATATACTAGTTTACTTAGAATTAAACAATTTTAATCATACTAGAATTCAAGACTATCTTAACACATTTACTAGGTTATGGTGGCAGACTTTGAATTCCTGAAGAAATGCTTGGAAAGTGCATGCATGGTAACCTTGGAGGAGTCACTCGCTTTATCAGCTGTCAGTTTGATTCATAACTGAGAGGAATGAGAATTTGTTTACCAGTTTTGCTTGCTCACTTACTCAGAATTCACAGAGTTTGTCTGTTGCCGACTCGGGCTTGGGCTTGTAAGATTCCCATTGCTGTCAACCCTGTCCAGTTCTTGGCGTTCTTATGCATCCCACATTTTAATAAAAGTTTTACCATCTGCACAAATGATTAAATGATACATAGAGGAAACAATTAATTAACAAACAAAACGCATAAAAAAAATTAAATGTCTGTTTCAATAATTAGTTTAAAAAAGGGGTCGTGCCTGCGGTTTATTATTGGATACCGCAACATGCAACACAGTATCCACTTGCTTGTTCTTCCAATTCAGGACTTCTTTCTCCCATAATTTTCCATCTTTGTGGTGTGTCCTCCGAAGCCAACCTACTAGGACTTGAAGAGCTTCCAGTAGGTTCTTTTACGCTGCAATGTGCAAAGCAGTCTCATTTTCATTTGTCACATCTCTGATGCATTCAGGACAACACAAGAGAAATGTGAGTACAAGACTAAGGTCCGCTTCTTCAACTACGTAGTGCAAAGGAGTTTTACCCTCCTTTCATTTGACACGAACGAGATCTTTATCCATTCCCAGGAGATCGAGGACAGTCTCTTTTTGCCCATTTTGCAAGGCAAGGTGAATAGGGCTAAAGCCATCATGGTTCAGCTTTAAAGCTAGAGATGGCTTCAAGTTCATTATCTCCATGGCAAAATCAGTGTGCCCCGCAGCTGCAGCTGTGTGTAGTGGGGTATCAAAGAATAGTATCTGATCAATGCCATCCAAAAGATATGCATCTTCTCGAATTAATGCATATAATGCATCGATATTTCCTTCTTGAGCAGCCCCTCGCAGCCTCTCGTGACGCTCATCCATCTTGAGAATACTGACAAGGATAACAAGAGCTATAAACAAAAGGAAATTGAGAGAATGATCTCGCAAACTATATATGTGTTTCAAGCGTTTGATACTTAATTAGCAAACAAACTATACACAAGGTGCTCTTTGAAGGTCCAAGGAAAATTTTCCCAGTAAGAAAAGTTGCCTAATTTGGTCAAACACCCTTTTCAGCTTGTGGTACCCCAGTTTAAAAGTTGAGGCGAGGTCATTGAAAGAATGGTACTGGATGGGTTGAGTGACTGGGGTGTGTTTGGTCAATGGCGAAAGGGTTCCTTGTTTGTAACTACAGGGTAGAGAGTGGGAAATAAGTGGAAGACTATGGAAAAACAGAGAAAGCAAAACAGAGGAAATGATTTAACTCAAGACTTATGTTGGATTGTTTAACTCAAGTTGGTGAAGTTTTTTAGAGAGAAATGATTAAATGAAAATTAAAACCAAAATAGCATTTAATAGAAAATTTATTAATATGTAAAAAGTTAACTCATGAAAATAATATATATATTTATTGCATTTTTTAATTAAATCTAACACCTATTATAAATTTTTTTGGATGAAAATTCTCAATTGATTATATTTTTAAACTGTCATTTTATGTTATTTTTTTTCAATGATATTTATTAATTAATAATAAGATTTGTGTTATAGGTGAGAAAGAGTTAGAATCATATTGATCTACTTTATGCAAATGAAGCATACTCAATTGCATTAATTAATAATCATATTGAATTGCATTTATATATAAAATTTATTATTAAAAAAGTAGAAAAGTAGATCTATCATCATAATCCCATGCTTAATAATTAACAACACCAAAAAAGTATAAAAGAATTTTATTGATGACAGGTTAAACACATATAAATATCATATACCTCAATGAACAAAGGATGTTCAGAATCACTAAAGCATTCATCTTCACAATTTTAACATTACAATTACGGCTTCATTTTTAGAAATCAATATATAGTTCATATTTAACAAAATAAATTTTTTTGGTACATTAATGGATTATAAAAAATATTCCGGAGTTTTTCCTTTTTCCAATTCTTTTCTTTATTGCTTTTCCTATTAAGGGATTAATTGGTCATGCACTGTGTCCAAAATTCCACCTCGGATCCGTCTCATCCTCACTAGCACCTTATGTTTGATTTGTGTTAAACAATTTTACTTAATAATTGCAAAAGATATGAAGAAAATGAAATAGTATTAATTTTAATAAATTAGTTAGAGCTTCAATTCCATTTTGATTTCTTTGTTTGCATTGTCAGCATATAATTCACTCAGCTTGGTAAGAATGTAGTTTGGATTGAGAGTTTTAACAGTATTTGAGGCCTTATGAGCTATGATTCTTCATGTTTTTTATGGTTAACCTTATAATTTGGAACTTGGGGCATGTATGTTTTCTCAATCAGAGAGAAAATGATCAGGAAAATATTAGTGGATAAGAACGTACAAGGTCCAACATGAAAGTTTCACCATCTAGTAAGAGATAGAGAAAGGCTCACGAGCCAAATACATGGATATAAGTACCCACCCAGAATACGAAAGGGGTATGTAAGCTCAGAGCCCCCCATACACAACAGAACATGCTTCTATCCAGTAAAGAGAAAAAAACGTAGTTGAGAGGATTATGCTTCCTTCCAGAAAATACATGGGTGAACCATCATCAGCTGAGTATCAACACATGACCTGTGCATCCAAACTCCCTCAGGAAAACCAGAATAATTCTTTCAGAGCCAAGCAATAGAACATCACGAACTTAAATTGAGCTAACTAAAACAAGAAATCACTACAAAGCTAGATACCAAAAGGGCTTCCCTTCGAGAGGCCCCGAGGGAGGAATGAGCCAACCAGCTGAACCACATAACTATTTGATGATGATCACAAAAAGAAATTAGACTTTAATATGGTTTCGACATTTAGCATAGCTGGAGTAAGAATACAAATAACAATAGACAAAAAGGAAAGAAGTTGTACGAGGCAGAAAATCTTTCTTCTGGGTACAAATCTGCAGCAAACATAACTGGCGATCCGATAAGCCACCAGGACTGCTATTAACGTTGACAAGCAGTAGTTCACAACGGAGACAGCATGATACGTTAAGTATGAAGGTGCAAGAGAAATAAGAGATTGCAGCTTCCATGAGATGACAGCTACTAAAAGCATGTAACAGGAGCCGAAAAGGGAAAGTGTTATGAGAAGAAACAAACAGATTAAACGATTCGGGAGGAGATATGCTGTTAACCCAATTGCCGCCCAAAAGGTTAAAGTGTTGTATAACCAAAACATGGTAGATGCATCTACCAAATTTTGCCAGTCCTCGGCCGGAAGATATTTGCCACTAGGAGGATTTGCTTCCAGCAGCCAAACTTTGTTAGTGTGGGATGAAACATTGTCACCCTTCTTGGGAGGATTTAATGAGGCATCGTAAGTGGCTGTTATAATTAGCACAGTCACTACTAGAAATGTGTTCCGCATCCCATTTGAGATACCCTTATTTCCACGAGCTGCCATTGTTGCAAATTTTTGCAAATATGACATCTTTGATCTGAGTGAACTGATGTTGATTGAAGAGTTGGGTTTTTTGGGAAGCAAGGAACCACGCAAACCTCCAGCTTTGATTAACATATCCATAATCTCTCTATTATCCACTTGCCTATCAATCCTTTGGCGTTCTAATACGATATCTAGAGCCGTTAATCCCTCCAAATTTTTGGCATTGATATGGTCTTGACTCAAATTTTCCACCAATACTTTTACCACCTGATAATTGGAAAAGCATGAAATTCATATTAATAAAACTGGATCTCTTTCATCATATAAGTCAATTGGAGTCAATGAGATAGCTAGCATACCTGAGGTCTATTTCTGATAGCTGCAATGTGCAGAACTGTGTTGCCTTCAATGTCCCTCCACCTCAGTAGTTCATTTTCCCAACGTTGGGCAGCTTCATGGCGGCTCCTTCGGAGCCACCCCATCAAGACTTCAAAAGCTTCAAACATGTCGTTTTTGACTGCAAGATGGAGAGCAGTCTCGTCTCGAACAGTCACATCTTCAATAGCCTCAGGGCAAGCCTCAAGAAACGTGATCGAAAGATCAAGGTTTCCGGTTCCAACTACATGGTGCAGAGGAGTCAGGCCCTCCCTCCCTTTGACACGAACAAGACCTATATCAAACTTAAGGAGTCGAAGCACTGCTTGGATTTTGTCATTTCGCAAAGCCAAATGCAAGGGACTAGACCCAGCTTGGTTTAGCTTTCTTGCAAAGGATGGCTTCAAGTTCATCATTTCCATCACAAAATCAACATGGCCAGCACGGGCTGCTACATGTAAAGGTGTATCAAGAAAAGGCACGTGGTCAATACGCTCCAAAACATATGGATCTTCCAGGATTAATTCATACAAGACGTTAATGTTTCCTGTTTGAGCAGCCTCAATCATCCTCCAATCCATTATGCTGGGGATAATAAATTATGCAGCAATATCCAGGCTACTGAAAACTGATGAAATTTGCAAGAAAAGATTAGAGCAGTTTAGAGAATAAAGAAACAGAGGATAATATAGAGAGGAAAGAAGCAAGTCAAGCAACTAATCATAAAATCAACCCACTATATAAACTCTTAATTAATAATTACACATACTTACCTCATATGTACTTAAAAAAATGACTTCAATTCATACCGTATCTTTCTTGTTTCTCGATTCAAAATCATGTCATCTCTCCAATATATTAAAATAAAAAAATGACAGTGTTTCTCTGCTTCTTTTAATTTTACTAACCTTGATTTTCTTGGATATCCCCTTCTTGGCCCTTGAGCCCTGTTAGAGATACTAACTCGATTTTCTTGAATATCCCTCTGCTTGGTACTTGAGCCCCATGTACTATAGGATTTAAAAGATTAATTTTACTTGCTTATTTTAATCAAATACCCCAATTTTACCTTTCATTAGATATTATAATAAATTTGCAATAAGCATGTGCTGTCTATTAGGAGTACTGGAAGATTACTTGAACTAAATAATTGTCAAAATTTGATTAAAATTTAACACTTGTTGATGGTACCATTCTTGCAAAACTATAAATCTTTTATTACAAAAATCTAACATTAGATGAAACTCATTGGAATGAAATTGCCAATGGTTGAATAAAAACCTTAACTTGGAGTTTATTCTGCTAATAGTTGGGAGTTTTATGCACATATGTTTCTCTGTTGTCTCATCTTTGCTTCACAAATTTTTCAGCAGAGGCTGCTTAACCATGGAAAAGTAGCCAATTATATAAAGAAACTCTTTCTTTTTTGAAGGAATAGAGCCAATGGCAATATTGAAAGACATGCCAGCGTTGTACATTGCACCAACACCAAACAGAGTCTACAAGAGCGCTGCCATAGACTTCTCTCTGTATTAAGAGACCAAAGCATACAACCCTCTAGAGTTGATCAAAAGACTGCCAACCTATAATACAACTATGGGACTAGCATCTCAAAGAGCTGTCGCAAGCCAACCCACAAAGACAACTGTACATGAACCAGAACCCAGTAGCAGCCCTGTATCTGGTTTCTGCTCTGCCAGCAACCCATCCAATGCCCAGCTGCATAAACACCCCAGAATTGGGAGTGGCCCCATAAATTTTAATCCCGCTCCGACACCCAGGTTAAAAATCACCCATCATCACAACTCTTGCCATAACCAAGAGAAGCCTGTTATGAAGGGTTATTGGCCTTTTCGTGATTAAAAAGAAATTGTCGATTATATTTTTGATATTTTAGTTAGCATTTACTAGGTTTTTGTGGCAGAATTTGAATTCCTGAAGAAATGCTTGGAAAGTGCACCTTGGAGGAATCACTAGCTTTATCAGCTATAGGTTTAATTCTTAACTGACAGGAATGAAACTTTGGTTACAAGTTCTTTTGCATTTGGAATGGCAGTGTAATATAATTACACAAAGATTGTTTTAGTTCCAGAGGGAAACAAAAGGAAGAGGAGGAAGACAAAGTATTGTCAAGAATTGGGAATATTACAATTTCCGGAAAATGCACAATGCTCACAATCAAGAAGTATGTTGTTCCCCAATTTGGTTATTAAAGTTTGAACAACCACTTTCAAACATTGAATATCTTAAAGGAGTCTATGACAGTGAGCAATCTGTCTTTCATCTTGTCCCACCTTCTCTCATTGGCTCCGGTTGTCAATGTGTAGAATTTACCTGATAAAACAACATGCCAGAGGGATCACAGATTGGTTTTGAAGTACAGAGAACAAGGCATCACAATGGCATGCAACTGCCTCATTATTTGGAGATAAAAAAACAATAAGAATACATTCCTAGGATAATGATGAATTAAAGAAATGTAGATTAACACCCTATTCACTCTGCTGGAATCAAATTTTCCATCATCAGCTTGTGCTTCTGATGATCTCAGCCTCCAAATTCCTAGTGTGTTTATCGATTCCAATTATGAGAACAAGTAGTCATAGTGTCTATGCTCTTTGGTTTTCCCTCTCACGACATTTTTTGTAAATGCAATGGTAAGAACTTAATTGAAAACCTTTTAGTTGCCACAGCGTGTAAACAACATAGAACAGTTGAGGATACTGCTGCAATTAGTCTCAGTGAATATTCAGAGCAATTTGCTAACAACTCAAGAAGTTCTTTTTGAATGTCAACATGAACCTTACAAGATTGGATAGCATATGGCGTACTGAGAAAAGAGTATCTCCCATATGCATAAGGTATTCATGTAGTATTATAAAATACTATTTTGTTACCAATGGAAACTAGTTAAATGATAAGACCGTATACTGATGCAATAAAAAATGCGTATTACCATGCACATAACATATCTATATATTAGGAGTTAGTTTCATACCATTTCCAATACAGACTGCACTAAGAGCATGTCGAGTGAAGTTTGGAGCCTGGGCAACAAACTCAAATGTATAATAAGCTTTTCCATCTACATCATGCTGAGGCATATATACAAAAGACAACATATCAATCTATAATGTTTTCTTACAAATTCTGAAACTTTTTAAACAGGAAACTCCTCCATATATATATAACAAGAGGAGTAGGTATAACAGTTAACAGTCAAAGGCTCATAATTCATGCACTACTTATATCGGTACTACTTTTTTGGAAGGGCAGTAAAGATATGGAAGTTCATTTATCAGTTAATGATCTATGTGGTTGATCTACATCCACACATGCATGTCAAAGAATGTAAATAACACAATCTACTGAAGCAATGAGAAGGTAATTAGGTAAACTCATTGAGAAAGTTGTCCAGCATAAACCTAGGATTAAGATTCATGGAATTACCTATTCTGAGAATAAATGTACAGCATTCTATCTTAGAATGAACTCAAAGGATCGTTTCTACTTCAAACCTATATTCTATTTGCTGCTTTTAAAAGTGAAAAGACCGACAAAAAAATTTATTACATAGACGGTTCTAATTGAACTTTTTGTGCATTAGGGGGTGTTTACTTTTGTTCCAAGTACTCTTGTGAAGCCTAGACAAGGCTGAGGTGTAGAGGAAACTCAAAGGGACTTTGGGGTCCTGAACCTATTTGGGACAAATGGACTTTACAGTATTTTCTGTCCATAATAATATCACAACTAGGGGAAAGAGTAGATGCATGAGATTTTCATATTGATTTTGTGCACTTCTGAGTGGCAGCTTCACATGAAAGCCAAACAGATGTTGACTCAGCTTGGCACACTAGTGAACATTGAAGACAGCCTCACCTAGTCAGAACTCCATAATAGAAAATCACCACCTGTATTAATTAATATCGAGAAAAAAAAATAATTGTCATAACCCTCCCCCAGGAAATGTTAATCTTTTAACCGTATACATTTTGATAATCAGTCCTTGACTCCACTTAACCAACAGAATTGTATGTTCTCCTAGTAAAAATCTGAGAGAAAGAGATTGTGTTAAATAACTTTTAAAATTTAAATTAGTCCTTCCAAGTTGAACTAGCTATGGCCCAATAGATGACAATAATAGAGGAAATGCGAGCCAAAAAGGTAAAAAGTAAAGGCAATGAAACCACACCAGGTTGCACAGGAAAGGAAATATATATAAAAAGCATAATTAGCCAAATATTTGCAGGGGATAACAGATCCAGCTTTAAAGCAAACAAGAAAATGATGGAAGCAAACCTCTGCAGCCCCAATTAGCTTTGTTTTCTGAGTTGCAGGAGCCAAAACTTTCTTGATTAGAGTTTCAGCTACCTGTGTTAATTTATAATGAGTATTAAGGCCTGCTTATCTGTAAAAGTATAACAGGAAAATCTCCTATTTTCTTATATTATAAATCTGATGGTAATGTAGAATTCATGGCAAACCTGTTGTGGGGACCCAAAGTCTCGAATGTCCTGTTTGCTGGTTGCTATCATATTCACACTGACGCTTTCTAATGGCTCAATAACATCTTTGAATACCTTGTCTTGACCTTCGATGACTACTTCCTGCCAACTTGCAATGGAGACTAATCATTATCAATTGTGGTTCCCGACAAATGAATATGAGAAAATTGCATGCACCAGATTTAGACAAGGAGTAGAGAATAAAACATTAGAGAGCAGAAAGCGCTACCTGCCACCCAAATGGATAGAGAAATGAGTATCCGTCTTTCTTGTCTGTGACTGAGAGAAACCCCTTTTTAGTTTCTGCAGCAACTGAACCATATCAAAGGTGTCCTCTTAGGATATCAGAAAATATTATTCAAGGAGCAATACATTGCATAATAGCAGGTGGAATTGATCTCAATGCTTCCTGAGAAGAAGGAAACAACAAGATATGGACAAGGAGCTATCTCCTGGAATGTTCTATACATTTGAAAACTGAATATGCTTACATGCAATAGGAGTTTGGTCAACAATTGAAACCAAAGGAGCAGTGATGCCAGCAGCAATCATTTGGCGTCTCCCACAACTATCTGCAAAGGAATTTAAAAAAAAAAACTGTAAAAGAAAAAGAAAACAGATATAGCCTGCTCACATAAAGTTGTTTGCTTAGTTCAACAGATGAACGTCAAGACAAATAACATTACGGAACCCACACAGTCATCACTCTGACCTTCATCACAAACAAATTTCACAAGAACAAAATCTTTCGCAACTTTTGAATGAAAAAACTTCTCGAATTGAACAGAATGCCACGAATCCTTAGCTCATTGACCATTCTAACAATAGCACTTGCCAGCTAACATATTAGTAAATTCTTCCATTTTTCAATACAAAAATTTTCCCAGAAAAAGGTCAATTCTTTTCCAATCTTTGAATTCTTTGGACCTATCAAGCTACATTTCAGTGGTTTATCACATTTAGTTTAATCTGACCAAAAACTTCGTTCAGTAAAACAATGCTTAATAAAAATTCAGAAAGACCCCTAAACAGTTTCAGTTGTGTTGCATTAACAATGAATCATTAAACCACAATTT